AGGCCCTTTCGCACCGCTTTAGTTCCAGAACTAAACGTACTGGGACGATTTTGCACGAACTATTTCCCAGTACTATTTATAGGGTTGCATTCGCACCGAGAGTATGTACTAAGAAGTGACGTAAGCCGGTCAACAGCGTCGTCATTTGTGCGCGGCGTTCAACAACAGAAACAAAGAACAACATTACATTATTAGGAGGATGGAGGACGCTGTGATCGGAGCTGTGTGTTTGTTGTGTCTCGCGGGTTTCACAGTGGACATGGAAAGTCGACGTATACGTAAAGCGATTGAAAGAACGGAAAAGGAGGACTAAGAATCTCCAACAACAACTGGCAGTGCTACATTTGCTACAAGTGCCAGCACTTCAGCGTCCGTCCATCTATCGCTGTTCTCCATACTTGTGAAATAAGTTGACATGCTTACAGTATGTTTACACGGTGTTTTAAATCATGGCAGGTGAGGGCGTCTTCGTACGCGTTTGGCCAATTAGTGTCTACTTGCGTCACGATTAGTACCAGTTGTGCTGGTTAGACCCTGCTCTGGAGTAGGAGCTAATTTGGTTCTCGAAAAAGGCAGTCCGGTACTAAAAATCACTCCCAGTTCCAGCGGTGCGAACACGCCGAAAAGTGGGTAGTTCCACAATTAGTTCTGGTATTATGAAAAGGTTCCTGCGGTGCGAAAGGCCCTAATGCGATGGACGATGACATCGGCGGGGGCGAGCGGGGGAAGGGGTGTGGGAGAAGAGTTAGGGGGTGTGCCCGAAGCGTGAATCCTTATAAGGGAAAACATGATTCCTTATGCCGTGTCTACACCGGACGCGAGCGGCGTGACAAAATACTATAGAACCACTGATCTATAATAGAGATGTATTATATATAGATCAGTCTATAGTAGGGATGGGCGATATGGGCTTTAAAATATATCACGGTATTTCTGGTATTTATTACGATAACGATATCAATGACGATAATTCAGGGAATCCTGTTTCTTTTAAGAAAAGTATTATCTTTCCTATTTTTACCCAACATAGGGTGAACATTAACCTCCTGAGACCCTGCATCCTCATATGAGGACATTATATTTTAGTGAATTTCTCTGAGACTATACATGCCACAGTTAAGTCTGAATGTCCTGTACAGAGCACATTCAGGGCTTTTCAGAGATACTAATTGTTTGGATGTTTCACCATGACCACCACCCCCTCTCCTTGGTCTTCAAAAATGTCGGATATTAATTTAGTGACACTCTTATGGAAATATGATATTTTGTAATTGTCATTTAAATCAGACACATTTTTAAACTGTGTCATAAATCAACATCTCAGGAAAATGTTATGGGGTTTCAAATAAAAATATGACTTTCTGTTATGAAACAGGAGGTTGATTTCATACATGTCCTCATATGAGGACACCGGGACTAAAAGCATGTTTATTACGCATTTTGGGAGACACAACAAATGAATAGGGAAAGAAAATATATTTTAATATTCCTATGAAATATGATATATTATTATGAAAATCTTGTCAATTATTACTCTCAATATTACACTTCTTTTTTCATTACGTTACCCCAAAAACACATTAATATGCAAATTAGATTTAGCTTATAGATACACTATATACACAATGAGAAAACCTGTTTGTGGCCATTTTACACACATTTTGCTTGAAGAAAAATGGTAAATCAAATCATTCTGTTATAACATAGTTGAGAATTATCTTTATACAAAGTTTGGTAAAAAAAAAAATCCTGAAAACTAAAATGTATTGGTGATTTAAAAATAAATAAATTGTTTTTGCCTATGCATGTTCATTCATGTCTTTTTATTTTTAGTTTTTAAAGAAATTGAGTCCCGATGTCCTCTACCAAGGACGTAGCATAACTTATTAATGAAATATCTTTTTTTTAATGCTCTAAACAATGTAATGACAAATTCATTGTCATTCACAAATACAAATTATCTGATAAAAAAAAAAAGTGTTTTGCCGGGCACATCTGGTCACAAAAAGAAGTATTTCAAACACTCGACTTAATGGTGTTAAGTTAATTTGGAGAAAATGCATGTCAATAAATTATATCTTTGTTGGACAACAGTTTTGTAAAATGGCTCATACACATGCAATACTGTATCGCACACGTGCTACTGTAGTACATTTATTTAGACCGATTTTTTGTGCACTGTACAGCCCTGACCAAACCAGTTACAGCTCGAGCTCCTCATTTAGCGATATAGGCTACTCTTCCTCAATTTCACGTCCGCTTTCTGTCATGTCGCTCCGCACTGTCGCACACAGAAATATGTCAACAACTAGACTTTATCGTTATTATCGCAGGAAGACTAATTCTTATCGTGGGGAGAATTTTTACCGGTATATCGCAAACGATAAGATATCGCCCATCCCTAGTCTATAGAACTCATTATAATCAGTGATGCTGTCTACACTGGAAGCGATACGCGGTGCGGCGTGACACGACAAATCCCGACAGTAAACTGCTGCCGCATTCTATTTATGACGTGCTGACACAAATTTCAAATGATTTTCAACGGTCGCTTTGTCACGTCCAGTGTAGATAGACTTTAGCTGATGCGGCGCGACACGACACGACAACTGTTGCGTCCGGTGTAGACACGGTCTAACGGTTGCCTGTTACATTACAGTACATAAAATTTCACTTACCACATAAACAGAGTAAGGAGAGATGACTGAGGACGATGGCGAATGATTTGCAGATCCTCAGTACCACTGACAAACATATAATCTTGTAAAATGTGTGGCAAGTACTGCCGCTCCATAGTATAAACAGAGTACGTGCGATCGCGAATCTCGAAAGTGATAGTGAAACAAAAAGCGATCGTGCATTCAAAAGCACGATGCCAGTTTCAATGCCAGGTATAATAGTGGCTCCCTGATGCTTAAATATATATGTAGTATAATTACCCAATTATATAACTGCGAGGAAAAATATTGAAATATATATTTTCCTCCCATCTCGTATTTATTCCCTTTAGGGGTTCCGCCTACACGTCATTTTCTTTCCGAACACGGTGTTGGGATTTGGGGGGAATCACGATGCTGGTTCAACATCGTGATGTCTATCAGCCATCAGCGATGGACGATGGCATCGTCTATCGGCCCAACCCTAGTGTCAATGTTTAAAACTCCAACATATTTTGCAATTTTCCTACCTGAACAGTGAGAAGTTGTTCCTCTAGTTCCCGTATCCTAGCAACTGCTTCCTCTCTCTCAGCTGTGCTCCCATCCAGTTGACCTAGAGCATCAGGTGCATTAAGACATAATTACTGTTTGATCACAGTACAAACTATTTGCCCTATGTTGTGGCATTTTTTGATAAAATGCTTCCAAGGACAGTTTACTCAAACCACAAAAACGGCTTTGAACTTTGTTCTCCTGGGCTGTTTACCTTGCAGAGATTGTAGAGTGAGTGTGATATGGGACAAGCGTGCTTGACTCTCCTGCTGTTCATCTGTAAGGTTGCCCAGCTGAGCTTCTAGAGCAGGTAACACCTCTAAGAACTGTGCAGGGTCAGTAGGAATGGATATTTCCACCTCTGCCTCCCCAGCAGTTGTCAAATTCCGAATCCCTATCCAAAGTTTCTCCAGTGCATCCTTGGCTTGCAGTCCTGCTTTCTGTTCCTCTTTATTGGCATCCAGTGTCTCTCTTAAGGACTCAAGCTCTTTTTGCATCTGTGCTAAGTGATCTGTTTCACTCTTAGATTCTTCTTCCCTTACTCTGTCCACTTCATTGAGCTTTTCCTGAAGATGATGAAGCTCTTCCATGTGACTTGCCACCTCCACCTCTAGCTTCTTTGTCATTTCCTCTTTCTGTTTTTCTGCAACTTCCAGACAGGCTTGCATGTTGGCCAGCTCTGTCTCAAACCTTGTTTGTCTCTCTTGTAATGTCTCCAGTCTTTCTCTCTCCTCAGCTGAAAGTTTTTCTCTCAGTTCATCCAACTCTGTGGTCTTTTTCAGTAACTCAGTATTGAGAGCACCGATGGTCTGCTCTTTTTCACTTTCTGTTGTTTCTAATCTGGCTTCTAGAGATACGTTCATGTTGGCCAGCTCTGCCTCAAAGCTAGTCTCTCTCTCTTTAAATTTCTCCAGCACTTTGTTCTCTCTTTCTTCAGATTCAAATTTTGCTCTCATTTCATCCACCTCTGCTGTCTTTCTCAGTAACTCAGCATTGAGGGCACTGATGGTCTGCTCTTTTTCATTTTCTAATGTTTCTAATTTAGTTTCTAGAGATACTTTCATGTTGGTCAGCTCTGCCTCAAAGCTATTCTCTTTCTTTTTCATTTTCTCCAGCATTTCTTCTTTCTCTCTTTGCCCAGATTCAAGTTTTGCTCTCATCTCATCCAACTCTGTGGTCTTTTTCAGCAATTCAGTGTTGAGAGAATTGACTGTCTGTTCTCTCTCAATCTCCGAAGCCTCTAGTCTGGCTCTAAGAGCCTGGAGTTCTTCCTCAACAACTCTCTCCTCAGCTGAAAGTTTTTCTCTCAGTTCATCCAACTCTGTGGTCTTTTTCAGTAACTCAGTATTGAGAGCACCGATGGTCTGCTCTTTTTCACTTTCTGTTGTTTCTAATCTGGCTTCTAGAGATACGTTCATGTTGGCCAGCTCTGCCTCAAAGCTAGTCTCTCTCTCTTTAAATTTCTCCAGCACTTTGTTCTCTCTTTCTTCAGATTCAAATTTTGCTCTCATTTCATCCACCTCTGCTGTCTTTCTCAGTAACTCAGCATTGAGGGCACTGATGGTCTGCTCTTTTTCATTTTCTAATGTTTCTAATCTAGTTTCTAGAGATACTTTCATGTTGGTCAGCTCTGCCTCAAAGCTATTCTCTTTCTTTTTCATTTTCTCCAGCATTTCTTCTTTCTCTCTTTGCCCAGATTCAAGTTTTGCTCTCATCTCATCCAACTCTGTGGTCTTTTTCAGCAATTCAGCATTAAGTTGGGTGACGTTGATGCTGAGTGCACTGATGGTCTGCTCTCTCCCACTCTCTGATGTCTCCAATCTGGCTTCTAGACATACTTTCATTTTGGCCTGCTCTGCCTCAAAGCCATTTTCTTTTTCTTTCAATTTCTCCAGCGTTTCTTCTTTCTCTCTTTCAGCAGATTCAACTTTTCCTCTCATTTCATCCATCTCTGTGGTCTTTTTCAGCAATTCAGTGTTGAGAGAATTGACTGTCTGTTCTCTCTCAATCTCCGAAGCCTCTAGTCTGGCTCTAAGAGCCTGGAGTTCTTCCTCAACACGCATTGCCCACTGCTGCCTCTCCTCTTCTCTCAGTCTCTGGGCTTCTGCCAACTCCAACTCCATCTGCCTGAACTGTGCAGTCAGAATCTGTACAAATGAAACATTCATCATGTTTATAATCTTGCTAAAGGGTCTATAATCCTAAAAAAATATTTTTGTCCAACCAGCTGTGACCACAAAATCACCAGAAAGCTGTATGTTGTTAAGAAAAAAAAATCTCAATTGACTGTGAGGATTTGTAACATATTTTGCTTTCAAAAATTACCAGGACACAGTGTAAACTATATGTGTTGTGCTGACCTGTTTCTGCTGGTCTGCACTGTTGAGTTCCTGCTGCAACAAACTCCATCTGCCTGAACTGTGCAGTCAGAATCTGTACAAATGAAACATTCATCATGTTTATAATCTTGCTAAAGGGTCTATAATCCTAAAAAAATATTTTTGTCCAACCAGCTGTGACCACAGCATGCAACAAGAAATTCTGTTGGTTACTTGGATTCTATTTTTAAATCACACTGCTGGGTATCCCTACCCTCAGTGAAATCTCACTGGTTGAAAATCACCAGAAAGCTGTATGTTGTTAAGAAAAAAAATCTCTTAACTGACTGAGGATTTGTAACATATTTTGCTTTAAAAAATTACCAGGACACAGTGTAAACCATGTGTTGTGCTGACCTGTTTCTGCTGGTCTGCACTGTTGAGTTCCTGCTGCAACATTTCTAGGACTTCTGAACGAGAACGCAAGGACTCCTCCAACTCCTCTATGTGCTGCTGGGATGCACAAAGAGCCTGTAAAACAATAAGTAGGATTAAAGCAAAATAGAACCATGTGTATTGATAGACATCCTAAAAAAGCTGCAGGGTTTGATTTATGATTTTTGTTAATCCGCCCGTTCTTTCTTAATTCCTGTCCAACAACATGAACAAAAACATAAGATGAGTTGGACGCTGCTCATAGAAGGTGGAAATGCATGCACCATGCAAGAAAGCTTACATCAAAATTGCCATGATAACATTATGAGCTATGATTTCATGCTTTATAATAACACACAAATTTGGCTACAACACTTCAGGGTCTCCAAAACAAAAAGCCAACAAATATGGAAACAGCAAGACAATGTTATTCTGGCATTGCTGCTCTTACATGCCCCATCTTACATCTTTGTTTACTGATAATTTATGTGTGTGTGTGTGTGTGTATATATATATTCTTATAATAGTATTGATTACTTATGGATTAAAGAAAAAACCTAAGCTCGTGACACACACTATTAATCACATTTAATGCTTTACCAAAATATCCTTTTTGGAACATGAAAAATGCAAACATGAGAAATGCAAACACACCTGCTGTAAGTCAGGGTCATTTGAGGCCTGTGTGAGATTGAGGAGTTCCTGCTCATGTTTGAGTATTTGTTCTTGAAATCGCACATCTTTCTCCTTCACCACAGCCTGTAGAGTTCGCACCTGGATGACATTTGAAAAATAAAACAGTAGATATAGACTTTGAGAGTGAAAGTCTGGGATTAGTTTATTACAGAAATAAAACAGTAGCTGCAAATGAACGGACCATCATATGACACATTTAAAGATGTGAACAAAATAAGCACTTATTCATGGTGCTTAAATGAATCATTGGACCTGCGAACACACCTGCTCTGCATGACCTTCCTCTCTCAAACGCTGTTCAGCATCCCAGAGTTGATGTTGGAGGGTCTTGTTGGCCGACTCTGCCTGACTGAGCTTTTCTTTCAGCTGCTGGAGTTCCTCCTCCACTCCTGGAGCCATTTGGAAGGAGCTCTCTGAATTCTAAACAAACATTTCATTAACATACTGCCATTAAGAAAACTTTAATGAATTTGGCAATCGCCCATATTTATTACACATCTTCTTAGGGGAGCGTAAGATGAACAATAGAATACACCACTAGTAATAATTATATTAAGTTGGCACACTATAAAAACATATCGAAGACCAATTGATGCTGAAAATACACAAATATGTGCTTATCTCTTTACCTGACTGCTGTTCAATGCTTCTTGTCCTTTCAGTTCAGCAAGCTGTTTGTTTAGGGCAGTCATCTTGGCTTTGGCCTGCAGTTTAAGCTTTGTAAACTTGACTTCTGCCTGTTCTTTCTCCTCCTGTATGAGAACAAAAACAGTCGCAAATGCAAAATCAAGCTTCAGACCTGTTGACATTCATGGTCTACTTGTTTGTTCTTTTCTCGTTATGCAAGCCCACACCTTGAGCTGTTTTTCAGTGCTGGCGTGCTGGCTGTCCTTCTCTCGAATTAGCTCCTTCAGCTGAACCACCAGCTGTTCGGTCTGGGCCAGCCTCTCCAGGACCTCTTCTGAGGGCCCCGAGCCCTCTGGGGATGCTTCAGCATCAGGCTGAGGCTGAGGTACCAGACCATCCTGCTCCAAAGACAACATTCAAAAATTAGAGAGAGCTCTCTAGGTGGATAATCACTCCCTGCCAACCACATGTTAATATTAAAGGTGCAGTAGGAGATCTTGGAAAATGCTAACTTTAGCCTGAATGCTAATTTTAACGAACGTCCCACCCTCCCTGCAATCGCCGTCCAAAGCCACGCCCCGTGAGCGCATATACGCTCACTCACAGACCAGAATACCAGAGACAACATTACTACAGTAGGCTACATCAGCAGTTCCAAATTGCAGCCCATGTTCCGAAGTGAAGTAAACTTCAACGGATTTCCCCTGCTCAGGGAGGAGGGAGCAATGAACACTGTGTAGGGATCATATCGATCGGAACACAGTTCATGCACGTAGCTCACTTCTAACGAGCTGGTTATCTGAATCGGGTGTGTTAACTAAGTGAGACATGCAAAATACATGCGCGAGGACTGGAATTGGGAACCGCTGGGCTGCCTACATCATGTATCATTCACCGGTGAGAAAACTTTAAAAGTACTACAATACCAGGAAGGAAGATCAGGTTGTTGATATTTGTCTGCCATTCTCGCTCTGTCTGCATAGCATGCGTGAACGTGCTGATGACGTATCCTGTCTGCACGAACCGGGTGCGCAGAGGTATGCTAATACATACGTTGACAGGCAGGTAGGAAAGACAATTAAAACGCTCGAACCGAGCATTTTGATTGGACGAACATTTCTTGGTCCTACGCCTTCCACAGAATATATAAATACAGATAAATACATATAGACCACTTAAATTAATGCACCTACCTAAAACGGCTCGTTCTAACATGCCCCCACATATGGGTGTGGGAATGATGTGGGAAGATTTGCATAACGCCACCCAAATGCTCACGCAAAGAAAGAAGGCATAACTTTTATTCTCGCTGTAGTGTTGTTGTTGCCGCCGCCGCCGCCATGTCGTGAAGAAGCTGTGTGTTTCGTTGTGAAAGCGAAACTACTTTGTTTGGCCTTCCAAAAGAGGACGATATCCGCTTCGTCATGCTTGGAGCTGATCCGTGCTAGTCGCTAATGAAATACATCAACTTTGCACTGTGGATCGCCGGATCGGCTTTCACCGTGGACGAAGCGGAGTCCAGCCCGGGGTCGTCACATGTGGTTGC